TTTCTCCACCTGGCCCTTTTGTTTAGTAGGGAAAAATAATGGAGGAAATAAGTTACGTTGATCCAGGCCATTGAGATAGTCCAGGTGAGGGACTTCAATGAATCTTCTCCAGCTTCTGACAAGTTCTGGTCATTTAATGTGTTCCTTCAGAAAAACAAATTCTTCCTTTGGGCTGTTCTTACCAGTCCAATTTCAGATACCCTGAATTCCCCTCCCCCCCCTTATCCCTATCAGTTTTCTCTCTTGGCTTTGAACATTGGCATAGAAACTGCTCTCTAGGGCTTCTCACGCGAAGTTGGATAATCTTTAACTTGATTTTATCCTGTCTGGTCTGGAGATCCTGTCCTTTTTCAACCAAGGGATGAACTCATCACCCCAATGTTCCACCAAGATCATCTTGTTCTCCTTACCATGGAAGCATGGGAAAAAAATGGTTCCCCAATAACATAACAAGAGCTGGTTGTACCATTAGGCAGTTCATTTTTGTTCACCTGAATCCTTAACAGAATAACAGAGACTGTAGACCAGGGATAGGCAACTTGGCTCTTTTATGACTCGTGGACTTCAACTCCCAGAATTCCTGAGCCAGCCATACTGGCTCAGGAATTCTGGGAGTTGAAGTCCACGAGTCATAAAAGAGCCAAGGTTGCCTACCCCTGCCCTAGACCATTTCAGACAAATAGTTGTCCAATCTCTTCTTAAAAACCTCCAGTGATGGAGCACCCATAACTTCTGGAGGCAAGTTGTTCCACTGGTTAATTGTTCTAACTGTCAGGAAGTTTCTCCTTAGTTGTAGGTTGCTTCTCTCCTTGATTAATTTCCATCCGTTGCTTCTTGTCCTGCCTTCAGGCGCTTTGGGGAATAGCTTGACTCCCTCTTCTTTGTGGCAGCCCTTGAGATATTGGACCACTGCTGTTATGTCACCCCTTGTCCTTCTCTTCACTAGACTAGCCATATCCAATTCCTGCAACTGTTCTTTTAACCTCCAGTCCCCTAATCATCTTGGTTGCTCTTCTCTGCACTCTTTCCAGAGTCTCATACATTTCAGTAAACAAACTAACATCGTTCTCTTTGTTTGAGTTTCCTTGAAGAAGACCAGCAGCTGGCGGGCTGAAAATGGAAGTCATCAATCACCTTGTTGGTGACAATTTACTCCGGCATGGTCCTGTGATGGGTAGAAGGAAGAATCTTGAGGGTCAGGAGAAACAGATGCAACCAAGACAACAGTCAGATAAAGCAAATCTATGCCCAAGGCAGAAATATAAAGTGAGAACACATCTCAGAAAAGACCCTCTGAAGATAAAGAGAAAGGAAGGGGAAGATAATAATAATCCTTGAATAAAAATGTACTAGCTAGGATGACTTTGGTTTCCTCCTGTAGTCCGATCTACTTTGAAGAATTGACAAGTTCACACAGCACCGTGAACCATCTTGGGCCTTGTTTTATTTTATTTATTTACTTATTAAATTTATTCATTTGCTTTTGGCTCAGGATAGGGCAGTGATGGCCAACCTTTTAGAGACTGAGTGCCCAAACTGCAACCCAAAACCCACTTATGCATCGTCGGGTGCCTGGTGGGTGTGGCCCATTGGGTGGGTGTGGCCCATTGGGTGGGTGTGGCTGCAGTGGTAACAGCAAACTGGGTGGGACTAAAAAGTTCAATCAATCAATTCCAACTTTGCAAGATCTTTGTTTTTCCCATGAGAAGTTGAAATTGACTGATTGATTGAACCTTTTTTTTGGACAGGGCGGCAGAGGCCTAAAGCGAAAAGATTTTTGTTGGAATATTCATGAACAGGAAGAGTCATGTGGTAACTCAGTCAGCCAATGTGAAGAAAGTGCTACTGAGTCTGTGCAAAAGAGTATTGAGTTAGGAGCTGGATTTCCAGTCTCAAGTTCTGTCTCTGGTCTGTCTCTGTAAGAAGTCTTCATTAAGCTATGTTGCTGTAAAGAAGAATGGTATTGTAAATATTTTTATATAAATATAAAGTTATTTGAATCAGCTAAATGCAGTCAGCTGTGAGAGCTTCTGATTTATTTTTTTACCAGTAGAGAAATTAAAATTCTCTAACAGGTTATGGGCCCAGAGCTTACTAAGGACTGCATTGTAATTTAAAGCTGGAAGAAATTGCCTGTGTTTAGAAAGTATAAGAACAAGGCAGAATTAGCAGAATGGCTGCAATAGAATTTGAAGAAAACTCTGTGCCTCATTTGGGCCAGAAGAATTACATTGTATGAGCTGCAAAAATGGAATGTTTGCTGAAAGCTAAAGAGTTGTGGTATATTGTAGAAAATCCACCACAAGTGTTTGCAGCAGTTGATCAGAAAAGCCGTGATCAAGCAATGATTTATCTCATCTTGAATTTAGATGATGATCAGTTTCTAAATGTTGCAAATTTAAAGACTGCAAAGGAGATTTGGTTGAAGTTGAGAGCCGTGCACGTGAATGTTTCTGCATGCAATATAGTGCAATTGTCAAGAAAACTTTACAGGGCCTGTTTGCAACCAGGTGAATCTGTGGAACAGCATTTAAATAAAATGCAAAGTTTATTTTTGGATTTAGAACAACGTGGGAGTAAATTCCCTGAGTCCCAGAAGGTTTTATTGGTGTTGAACAGTTTAGATAAAACCTGGGACACAGTTTCTGCCATATTTAAGTGCAAAGAAGAGCAAGAACTAAATTTTGAAGCTTTAAAGGCATGTTTGCTTAATGAAGAAGAAAAACGCCATTTTAGAAGCAGCCACGAGGAGGAGAAATTCCTGAAAAGGGGGTCCAACTGCAAGTCTCCAGAGGAGAAGAAACAAGCAGATCGGACCCGGACCAAATTGCAACAAAAGAGAGATTTTGCAAGAAGAGAGCTTTGCAAGGAAAGACTTGCTACATTTGTGGAGAAAAGACACATTTCCAAAGGAACTGTTTGCAGCAAAGGACATTTGTGCAACCAAAAAGGACTGCTTTGCAAAAGGAACATTTTGGTGTTGCAAAAGTTTGCTATAGCAACAACAGAGACAAGTGGCTAATATATAGTGGGGCAAGTCAAACAATTGTTAATGAGTCTGAATTATTTTGCAGGTTTGTTCCAGTAGCACAAGAAGCTGTGGCTTTGGCAAATGGCCAGAAAGCAAAAGTCATTGGAAAAGGCGATGTAAAAATTCCATATTTGGAATCAAAGTTTACCAATGTGCTTTGTGTACCTGAGATGGAACATAATTTGTTAAGTGTGTCTAATTTAGACAAACAAGGTTTTGAGGTCATTTTTGTAAATGGGAAATGTCTCATCAAAAGGAATGGGAATATTTGTGCAGAAGGCATAAAGGAAGATAATCTATATGTACTGCAGAGACAAAAGGTTCAATGTTCCCATATATTTAAGAGTGTTGCAGAGCATGATTCATGTGTTCATATTCTGCATAGAAGACTTGGCCATGCAAGCTTTAAAGTTTTGCAGCAAATGCAAGATTTTGCAGAAGGGCTAAATTTGAAGGGATGCAAAACATATTTGGACTGTGCAGTATGCAAAGCATCAAAGTCAAAGGCATTCCCAGTAAATGTAGCACAAGACAAACAAAAAGAGTTTTAGAGCTGGTCCATGCAGATCTGATGGGACCTATGCAAGCCAGTTTGGGAGGAGCAAAATATGCACTGGTAATTGTTGATGATTATAGCAGGTATTCATTTTGCTACTTGCTTAGAGATAAGACAGAGGTGCTACAACAATTCAAACAGTGGGTAAGTTTTGTAGAGAGAAGGTACAGACAACAAGTGTGTCAGTTGCAAACTGACAGAGGTACTGAATTTATGTTAACAATGGTTGGGGCAGTTGGGGATAAGACACAGATGTACAAATCCTTACACAGCAGCAGAGAATGGTGTAGCTGAAAGAAGGAATGGTGTTTTGCAAACAATGAAAGATTCATTATTGGAGGATTCTGGTATGAGCAGGTCATATTGGGGAGAAGCCATATTGACTGCCAATTATATAGTTAACAGGCTGTGGAGTTCCTCCATATGCCGTTCTATATGGGAGAAAGCCATCACTGGCACATTTGAGAATTTTGGGAAGTATTGCATGGGTACATATTCCTAAAGAAATCAGAAGAAAGGGACAGCAAAAGGCAAGAAAGCTCAGGTTTGTGGGCTATGAGCCAGAGTCAAAAGGATATCGCTTTAGCGATGGAAGTAAAAGAATTATAATTTCAAGGTCTGCTAATTTTGCAGAACAAAATTGGGACAGAATTAATGCAAATTCTGGGTATGTCTCACTTAATGACAGTGATCTGTTTAGTGACAATAACTCATCTAATGATGAAAAAATCGTTATTGAAGATGTCAATGTTCAGGGAGGAGAGGCTGAACAAGACATGAAGCCAGAAAGACTTGAGACACAGGAGCAGTTAATACCACGTAGGTCAGAGCGATGTAACAAAAGAATTCCGCCTGACAGGTATTCTGCCAGCAAGGTAAAGGTTTGCAATGTGTGGTATGAGCCAAGAAGTTATAAAGAGGTGTTGGCATTACCAAAAGCTGAACAAGAAAGATGGAAGGAGGCCATGGATAAAGAGATGAAATCCATGGGAGACCATGAAGTATTTAAATCAGTGACTTTGCCACAGGGAACCAAAGCTGTGGGTTGTAAGTGGGTATATAAGAAAAAGGTATTGCCAAATAATGATGTACAGTATAAGGCCAGGCTAGTGGCACAATGTTTTTCACGATTAAAAAATGTGTTAAGTCAATAGGTCTGATGTCTCTTCCTGTCATGAAGGGAGGAGTGTTGGAATATTCATGAACAGGAAGAGTCATGTGGTAACTCAGTTAGCCTATGTGAAGAAAGTGCTACTGAGTCTGTGCAAAAAAGAGTATTGAGTTAGGAGCTGGATTTCCAGTCTCAAGGTTTGTCTCTGGTCTGTTTATGTAAGAAGTCTTCATTAAGCTATGTTGCTGTAAAAAAGAATGGTATTGTAAATATTTTTATATAAATATAAAGTTATTTGAATCAGCTAAATGCAGTCCACTGTGAGAGCTTCTGATTTATTTTTTTACCAATAGAGAAATTAAAATTCTCTAACAGTTTTATAAAACCCAGCTGAAGGCCTAGGACTGGGGCGGCGGCGTGCATGCTATCTTGGTAATCAAGAAGCACATTACTCATTATCTGTTTTTAGCCCAATGTCATGTGCTGGAATATGTTCCTTGGATTTTCTCCAGCTGGACTTGGAGAGTTTGTGGGTTGAATCATCATTTCCCAGATAGGAGAGCACAGAACACTTTCAGCAGCAAGAGAAACAGCTGAAGACATTTGGACAAGAACTTTTACTTGTGGGCTATCTTGGCTTCACTGCTAGCTCTTATTCCTCCTGATTTTACCAGGTATTTATTAAGGGAGGGAGGGAGGAAGGTGAGGGAAGGAAGGAAGGTGAAGGAAGGAAGGAAGGACAGGGAGGGAGTGGAAGGAAGAGGGAGGAAGGAAGGGAGGGAGGGAGGGAGAGTGAAAGAGAGGAAGGAAGGAAGGAAGGAAGGAAGGAAGGAAGGAAGGAAGGAAGGAAGGAAGGACAGGGAGGGAGTGGAAGGAAGGAGAGGAAGGAAGGAACAAAGGGAGTTGGAGGGAGGGAGAGTGAAAGAGGGAGGAAGGAAGAAAGGTGAAGGAAGGAAGGAAGGAGAGGGAGGGAGTGGAAGGAAGGAAGGAAGAAAGAAAGAAAAGAAGGAGTAAATCAACAGGGCAAGCCAGATTTGCTTAACAATCATATGATTCATTTAACAACTGCAGTGATTCGCTTAATAGTTGTGGCCAAAAAAGTAATAAAATTGGACAATCATCTTGCCTAGCAATGGAAATCCTGGTCCCCCTTGTAGTCGTAAGTCAAGGACTCCCTGTGCTGATTTTGCCTTCCTAATTCTGCCCCCTGTCCTATTTTTTTCTCTAATTCCAGTAGAGTTTTGAAAGGACCGTATCCAGCTTTGCCATGTCGCTCTCCTGGATCCTGGCATCAGTTTCGGCAGCAGAGGTCCTCATTGGCCTGGCTGTTTTCTGCCTTCTCTTCCTCGTCCTCCAGTCCTTTCAGAGAAAGACCCCCCAGGGCCTAAAGAAAATCCCTGGACCACGGGGCTACCCCTTGGTTGGCAACCTACTGGATGTGGGGAAAAATGTCCACCTCAGTTTAACTCAACTGAGCCGGACCTATGGAGACATCATGATGATCCACCTCGGGACAAAGCCCGTCTTGGTGCTGAGTGGGCTTGAGACCATCAAGGAAGCTCTCGTGAGACAAGGAGAAGACTTCAAGGGACGTCCTGACCTTTACGTCTTCCGCCATGTGTCCGATGGGCAGAGTCTGGCTTTCAGCACGGATTCTGGACCGGTGTGGTTCGCTCGTCGGAAGCTGACTCAGAAAGCCCTGAAGACTTTTGCTACCTTGCCCAGCCTCACCTCCTTCTCCCCCTGCCTCTTGGAAGACCTCGTCTCCAAGGAGGCCAACCATCTGATGGCAAAGCTCCAGGAGGTCATGCTTGCCAAGAACCGCCTTGACCCCCATCTGTACTTGACAGTCGCTGTGGCCAACGTAATTTTGGCCATATGTTTCGGCAAGCGTTACGACTACGAGGATGAGGAATTGCTCAACATTGTGGTCAACAGTGAGCAATTTGCAGAATCCACAGGCTCGGGAAGTCTAGTCAACTTCATCCCTTTTCTTCTGTATCTTCCCAGCAGCCTGAAAAAGCTTCAGAACTACAATAAGCAATTTAATCACTTCCTGCAGAAGAACGTTAAAGAGCACTATGAGAGCTTCAGGAAGGTAAGACACAATGTTGTTAGTTGCGAAGTCATGTCCGACCCATCGTGACCCCATGGACATCGTTCCTCCAGGCCTTCCTGTCTTCTACCATCTTCTGGAGTCCATTGAAGCTCACGCCTCCTGCTTCAGGGACTCCATCCAGCCACCTCCTTCTCTGTCGTCCCTTTCTTCTCTTGCCCTCCATCTTTCCCAGCATCAGGCTCTTCTCCAGGGAGTCCTTCCTTCTCATTAGGTGGCCAAAGTACTTGAGTTTCAACTGCAGGATCTGGCCTTCTAAAGAGCAGTCGGGGTTGATCTCCTCTAGGACTGACCGGTTGGATTGCCTTGCAGTCCAAGGGACTCACAGGAGTCTTCTCCAGCACCAGAGTTCAAAGGCCTCCATTCTTTGGCGCTCAGCCTTTCTTATGGTTCCACAAATTCTGACATTTGGTGAATTTGCCCCCCTGGTCATCAGAATTAACTTTTGCTATTCTCCTAATACACAATCCAATCTAAATTGGATGAAAGACCAATGGAACTCTATGAAAATGGTTTTGGTGGATCTTTCCTTTCAGGACCACATCCGTGATATCACCGATTCTCTGATTGAGGAAAGCCAAAAACAGAAGCTGGAGTCTGAGGGGAAAATTCAGCTCCCCCCTGGAATGATTGTGAACCTGGTTAATGACATTTTTGGAGCTGGTAAGGTCTTCACCCAAGGGTCTAAAGTCACAGGAGTATTCCTTGGTGGGCTTCTTGTCCAGACTACCTCGCAGGGCTAACTTTAATCTAGCAAGTCTCAAGGTATAGGTAATCCTCGACAGTTCATTTAGTGACCATTCAAAGTTACGACGACAGCGCCATAAGCCACTTATGACCGTTTCCCCACAATTAACCACCCTGGCACCATCCCCGTGGTCGTGGCATCAAAATTCAGACCCTTGGCGATTGATTCAAATTTATGACAGTCGCAGTGCCCCCCAGGGTCACGTGATCCCCTGTTGTGACCTTCTGACAAGCAAAGTCCATTGGGGAAAGCCGGATTCGCTTAACGACCGGGCAACTAACTGAATGACAGCAAGGACTTGCTAAACAATTGCGGCAAGAAAAGTCGTAAAATGGGGAAAACTCAGTTCTCTCGCTTAGCAACAGAAATGTTGGCCTCTGTTTTGGTTGTAAGTTGAGGACGACCACAACTTGCCACACACCCCTCTTTCCTTTTTCTCTCTGGAAAACTAGGGAAGGTCTTCTATGAGCTAAGCAGCCTTTTACATATCAGTTATCCACTCTCTGGCTTTTCCTCCCGTCTCCCAAGGCCGTTCCCACAAGCCAGGACACTTTCATTGGCTTCTGAGTGGCTACTGTGGGATAACGGGAGAATCCTTAATTGCATTTATTCCTTACCTGGGACTGGATTTGATTGGACCTTGAGCAATCTCACTTCTCCTTCCCTAAGGAAAGGTATTTGTTAAGGTGACCAACTTTTTTACAATGAAAAGGAGGACACAAATAAATTGAAGAAAAAAATATCGTAAAAACTGGCTCAGCCCATGGAAGGTCAACCGCCTGCCATGCCCCTGCCCGCAGCTGTCCTACCAACACTTCTGCCCTGCCATGTAGAACGGGCCCTGCGGCTCCCAAAGCACCAGCCACGCCAGCTCCGGCCCTGGGGGGCAGCCTGCGGTCGACACAACCTGCCTGCAGCCACCTCACCAGCACCACCGCCCACCCTGCGCAGCCCCGTGTAGAGACGGCCCCGCGGCTCCCACAGCACAGTATCTTTGGAACTAACTAGGAGATGGTGTAGTTGGGTAGCAGGCGGGGGTGCTAAGTTCCTGCCAATTTGCCTTCAGTGCAGACACCTTGCATGTGCAAAGTTTGCCGGTTGGGTGTTTGGCACGCTCAGCAGCAATTCCTATTGGCTTTCGAAAGCCAATAGGGGGAGTAGCACAGCTCATGCAAAAGTTGAAAAAAAAACATCAAAAAAGGTGCTGGAATGCCATACTGAGCGTTCTATGAGAAAAAAAAGCCCTGCAGATTAGTCTTCAAATATCGAAAAGGAGGACATTTAGGAGGACACTTTTCGAGGGAGGACAGAACTTACAAAAGGAGGACTGTCCACCCTAAAGGAGGACGGTTGGTCACCTTATATTTGTGGAAGCATCTGGGCAAAAGCCGTCCCGCAGGTGAGACTCCCGTGTAAGTCCAGAAGGCAAGATGGGCTGTTTTCTAGCCTGCCATGTCCTCTTTGTGTGTGTTTGTGTGTGTCGTCTGTTGTTACAGGTTTCAGCACAGTATCCACCGGGTTGTCCTGGTCCATTATGTATCTCATCTCATATCCCGAAATTCAGAAAAAGATCCAGGAAGAAATAGGTATGGTAGGATCTCTTCCTTCTCAGCCAGGAGAGCGAATTTGGAAGCAGGAGTTATTTTTCTTAGGCATTTATTTATTTATTTGAATGTATTAGTCCCGCAAGGCCAACGGATTCTTCACTGAACAAAATAAGAGGCTGGGTTTGCAAATTTACGCTCAGCCTTGGGGGGAGGGGGGGAACCAAAACAACCCAGATTATATATAAGGAACAGTTGCTGGAATTGGGTATATCTAGTTTAATGAAGAGAAGGGGGGACAGGATAGCAGTGTTCCAGTATCTCAGGGGCTGCCCCAAAGAAGAGGGAGTCAAGCTATTCCCCAAAGCGCCTGAAGGCAGGACAAGAAGCAATGGGTGGAAACTGATCAAGGAGAGAAGCAACCTAGAACTAAGGAGAAATTTTCTGACAGTGAGAACAATTAACCAGTGGAACAACCTGCCTCCAGAAGCGGTGAATGCTCCAACACTGGAAGTTTTTAAGAAGAGACTGGACAGCCATTTGTCTGAAATGGTATAGGGTTTCCGGACTGAGCACGGGGTTGGACTCGATGACCTCCAAGGTCCTTTCCAACTTTATTATTATTATTATTATGCATTATCGCACAGTCAGCCAGATGTTCAGACTGGATTTGGCATTTTGTCTACCTATCGAGTCCTTACCCAGGACCTGGGATAGGCAGATGTGGATGTTTGATTGTATTACAGATATCGTCGCAGGATGGAAGCAGTTCCTAATAAGGCCGCCTTTTGCAATTGACTAATAGCGAATTTGTCAATGCCAATGGTGTTCAAGAGGTGCTCCAGTTGTTTTGGGATTGCACCCAAGGAGCCTATTACTATTGGTATTATTATTATTATTATTATTATTATTATTATTACTTAAGGCACACATACACACGACCTTTGTCAGCCCTACAATGTAGGCCAAACTGAGAAACTGATCTTCACATGGGCTTATCTGGGATGCTTTCTTGAATTACTCTCTTGGGCCAGGCTCAAACTCCCCTTCTCTGACCATTGCTTTAGCAGTAGCACTTCATCCTCACCTGCAAGGTCCCTCCCTATGCCCAGCACAGCTTGAGAGATAAGGTCTTCTCAAGGAAAAGGGAAGATCTTTGACTCTTCCTCCCCACCTTCCAGATGTCACCATCGGCAGAGAACGGAAGCCGCGCTTATCCGATCGGTCCCTGCTCCCTTACACAGAAGCTTTCATCCTGGAAGTGTTCAGACACTCTAGCTTTCTGCCATTCACACGTCCTCACTGGTAAGTCCCACATTCCAAAGAGAGATAGATGAGCCCCCAAACCAGTCCCCGAACCTGGTCAGATCCACCAAGTCAGGCTGAATCTCACCATTCATGGATTCTCATGAGACTGGTGTAATGAGGGGGGAAGACCAAGAACTGGTGTAATGGGGGGGAGACGAAGAACTGGTGTAATGAGGGGCGAAGACCAAGAACTGGTGTAATGGGGGGAAGACCAAGAACTGGTGTAATGGGGGGGAGACCAAGAACTGGTGTAATGAGGGGGGGAACACCGAGAACTGGTATAATGAGGGGGGGGAGGCGAAGAACTGGTGTAATGAGGGGGGGAAGACCGAGAACTGGTGTAATGAGGGGGGGGGGAGACGAAGAACTGGTGTAATGGGGGGAAGACCAAGAACTGGTGTAATGGGAGGAGACCAAGAACTGGTGTAATGAGGGGGGGAAGACCGAGAACTGGTGTAATGGGCGGGGAGACCAAGAACTGGTGTAATGAGGGGGGGGAGACCAAGAACTGGTGTAATGAGGGGGGGAGACCAAGAACAGGTGTAATGGAGGGGGAGACCAAGAACTGGTGTAATGGGGGGGGAGTCTTTCTGTCTTGAACAGAATGGGTTCCACTTTGGTGTCGTTGGAAAGGGCAATAAAGAAGGATCACCTTTGACAATGGGTCAGATTTGGGTGGGGGCTGCCAAGAAAACCATCCCTGAGCCCATCTCTATAGGCCATTGGGGGGGGGTGTTTCCTTGGTGCTCTCTGACCTTGACTGTTTTCTTGCAGACGTTTCATTACCCAACTAGGTCATATCATCAGTGATCTGATGGTGTTGAGGGTGCTGGGATGGTGATTATCGGGTCTTGATGATGTCACCTAGTTGGATAATGAAACATCTGCAAGAAAACCACCAAGCTCAGAGAACACCAAGGACCCCTCAGTTCAACCCTGAGCTGCAAATATTCTCTTCCATTGACAATTTGTTCAATATCTGTATTGCTGCAGAAAGGCAACGCTAAATCTACCAGACCGTATCCTCTAATAATTATAGTTAGATATTTTTGGTTTGAAAATTCACCTCCATTCCCCGCCCCATCTTCCTTTTCTTTCCAACCAGGCAGACTCTTTGTTGCCTTTGGAAAAACAAATTTATATTTTCTTGTTTTCTTTTTTTAGCACCACTAGAGATACTTTCTTCAAGGGCTACTTCATCCCTAAGGACCTCTGCGTCTTTATCAACCTGTGGCAAGTCCACCATGATGAGTAAGTAGCGAGTTCTCATGAAATAACAGAAATAACAAAATAACACAGTTGGAAGGGACCTTGGTGGTCTTCTAGTCCAACCCCCTGCTCAGGCAGGAGACCCTATACCATTTCAGACAAATGGTCATCCAGTCTCTTCTTAAAAGCCTCCAGTAATGGAGCACTCCCAATTTCTGAAGCCAAGTTGTTCCACTGATTAATTGTTCCAACTGTCAGGAAATTTCTCCTTGCTGGAGGAATTGGTCTCCAATAGGTCTCCTTGTGGGGCCAACCACAGCTTGCTAAAACATGGTTTGTTGGCTACAACACGACTCTCTGGAGTCTCTCTGGCTTTTGCTAAGCCCAAGTCAAGCAACCATATTAAGGCTTGACGTGGTGTGTGAAGTCAAGTCAGCAAACTCATATTTTTGAGCTGCTGGCCTCCATCCTTCATTCCACGCATCCTCTTCATAGGAATCTTTGGAAAGACCCCTCGGCCTTCATTCCTGAGCGTTTCCTCACTGCCAGCGGGAAAGAAATCAACATGGATGAACGTGAGAAAGTCCAGATATTCGGTTTAGGGAAACGGCGATGCATCGGCGAGCCCATCGCTCGACGGGAACTCTTCCTTTTCTTGGCCATTTTGCTACAAGACCTGCAATTCAGTGTTCCCGACGGGGTGACGGTCAACATGACCCCTGTCTTCGGCCTCAGCTTGAGGCACAAGCGATGTGAGCACGTCGAGGTGAAACAGCGTTTTCCTAAAAAAACAGGCTAATTACAAAAGGGACAAATTGCCCGCCAGCCTGTACAAAGAATCTCAGTCTTTTCGGCATATTTTTGTACAGTCCACCTGGGGGAAAGCATTGTATGAACCTATCCAAAGTTAGCAAAAAAAAAAAAGTGATAAGTCTCACTGTCCAATCGTGTCTGACTCCGGGGTGGTACTCATCTCTGTTTCTTAGCCAAGGGAGCAATCATTGTCCGAAGACATTTTCCAGGGTCATGTGGCCAGGATGGCTAAACCCCGAGATGCACGGAATGCGGTTACCTCCCCACCAAAGTGGTACCCATTGATCTACTCGCATTTGCATGCTTTCAAACGGCTCGGTGAGCAGGAGCTGGAGCAAGGGACAGGAGCTCACCCTGTCATAAAGTGCTTGAGTCTCAAACCCGGGCTGTCAACTTTCCATCTGACAATCTCAGCATCTTTAACAGCTGAGCCATTGTGCCCCTTGGAAAATACTAAAATAAGCTTAATAGACCCATAAAACATAGACAGGAGGGGGGGAAAGCCCACTGCTGTGATTTCTATAGCTACAACTATATATCCAATAAAACCACCCTTTTCTTTCTTGGTCCAGCCATTCAGCTTTATTGAATAGCTTGGATTTTAAATATATTTTCTAAACTTAGATTGTAACCCCTTCCACCCTAGTTTTTGTGTCCTAAACCAGAGGTTCTCAACCTTTAGGGTTCCGTGGAGAGAGGCTTTTCCACGGACCGGAGGGTGCGTGGTTTTGTGTGCTGCCTGCATCCCACGGATGGGGCTTTGCTCGTTTGTGTGGACCGGTTGCTGGCATGCCGTGGCCCGGTACTGCTCCACGGATTGGGGGGTTGGGGACCCCTGTCCTAAACATGTCCCCCCGGCCAAACTTTTCTGATCAAAAGCTCTTAGGGAATAGAAAACCGGCACTTTTTTAATTGATTCCCAAACTTCTAATAAAAACATTTTCCGGTATCTTTGCCCTGATGGGCTTGAAGCAATCCAGTTGCCAACCTGCTATTATTTTCCTTTCCCATGGGTTGATTCAGCAGGCTCCTAAGGTGTGTGGGACTTTGCACGGATGCACACATGCTCAGGCACACACACACACACACACACACACACACACACACACACACACACACACAGAAACTGAAGAGCTGGTTGAGTAATGACCCTGGCCTCGGTCCAAGTAAAAATGGGAGGCCTGTTATTATTAGCTGAGTGGTAGATTCCTTCTTATATAACCGCTTGGCAGCCGGAAAGGAAAAAAGAAAAAAAGAAAAGAAAACTTGATAGGTTGACAAGGATTTGAGAGGTTCAAGAGTTTATCTGCAGGACCCAATACAGAATAACAGAGCTGGAAGGGACCTTGGAGGTCATCTAGTCCAGCCCCCTGGTATAGGAAACCCTATACCATTTCAGACAAATGGCTGTCCAGTCTCTTCTTAAAAACTTCCAGTGTTAGAGCATTCACCGCTTCTGGAGGCAGGTTGTTCCACTGGTTAATTGTTCTCACTGTCAGGAAGTTTTTCCTTAGTTCTAGGTTGCTTCTCTCCTTGATCAGTTTCCATCCATTGCTTCTTGTCCTGCCTTCAGGTGCTTTGGAGAATAGCTTGACTCCCTCTTCTTTGGGGTAGTCCCTGAGATATTGGAACACTGCTATCCTGTCCCCCCTCGTCCTTCTATTCATTAACCTAGACATACCCAATTCCAGCAACCGTTCCTTATATGTTTTAGCCTCCAGTCCCCTGATCATCTTTGTTGCTCTTCTCTGTACTCTTTCTAGAGTCTCAACATCTTTTTCACATCGCGGTGACCAAAACTGGATGCCGTATTCCAAGTGTGGCCTTACCAAGGCCTTGTAAAGTGGTATTAATACTTCAGGTGATCTTGGTTCTATCCCTCTGTGAATGCAGCCCAGCACTGTGTTGGCCTTTTTGGCAGCTGCAGCACACGGCTGGCTTCTATTTAAGTGATTGTCCACTGGGACTCCGAGGTCCCTCTCACAGTTACTACTATTGAGCAAGGTATCCCCTATACTATACCTGTGCATTTGGTTTTTCTTGCCTAAATGTAGAACCTTGCTTTTTTCACCACTGAATTTCATTTTGTTAGATAGCGCCCAGTGTTCAAGTCTGTCCAGGTCCTCCTTGAAGATCTTCTAGTCCAGTGGTTCTCAACCTTTTTAATGCCGCGACCCCCACCCGGTCGTAAGTCGAGGACTACTCAACCGGTCGTAAGTCGAGGACTACTCCACTGGTGCAGCACCGTTTGCAGAATGGGACTTTTGGCGGGCTCAGCAGGGCAGAGACAGCCTGGACAATTCCTATTGGCTTTTGAAAGCCAATAGAATTAGACTCTATTCAAGAGAGTCTATTCTATTGGCTTTCAAAAGCCAATAGAATAAAAGGGAGTAGCACAGCTAAGGAAAAGGGGGGAAAAATGGCAGACTGCGTTGTTTGGCGACCCCCGTGAAATGGTTGTTCGACCCCAAATGGGGTCCCGACCCACAGGTTGAGAACCACTGCTCTAGTCCTACCCCCTGCTCATTTGTGCTTATTTCTTTTTCCTCAGGACTCTTTTTCTCCTATGTATTTTTCTCCAGGAGAGCCTGATGAACAAGGAGTGGCACAGTGCCAGCTTTTAATGGGCACATCTATCTCTTCTCACCTTTCAGATCCCTGTTTCCTTCAAAATAAAAGTAGCCTTGTTATCTTTCCCTCTTTAACATCAAGTACCTGGAAGGACCAACAGGTGGCGTTAAGACTTCAAACGCCTGGGTTTACCAGATTGGATCCACAGCACCACCACCTGGTGGCTGGAGGCATTGCAGGCTATTCAGCTTCCAGACGAAATTTGGAGAAGCAGCAACTCTGACGGGCCGCACGAAAGTAGATACAGGTAGTCCTCAACTTACGACGGATCCTGAAAAAGAGACTTACGACCCCGGTTCGGAGTTCCAATGTAAGCTCCCATCCCAGTTGCATGACTGCATTTTGGGCAACCGGCCGCACTTAAGACCATTTACAATACCTCACTGGTCAGGCGACTGCAATTTCTGATATTTCTGCTTGAAACTCATTCGACTCAGTTAAGAGCCACCTGGCTTAGCACTGGATATCCTGGTGCCAGCTGTCGTTGTATGTTGAGGACTACTTGCACAGTGGGTAATGGTTTGTCCCCAGGCTGGGAAGGAACAGAGAGACTGTATACGAGAATAGAATAGAATAGAATAGAATAGAATAGAATAGAATAGAATAGAATAGGAATAGAACAGAGTAGAGTAGAGTAGAGTAGAATAGAATAGAATAGAATAGAATAGGAATAGAACAGAGTAGAGTAGAGTAGAGTAGAATAGAATAGAATAGAATAGAATAGGAATAGAACAGAGTAGAGTAGAATAGAATAGAATAGAATAGAATAGAATAGAATAGAATAGAGTAGAATAGAATAGAATAGAATAGAATAGAATAGAATAGAAGGGACCTTGGAGGTCTTCTAGTCCAGCCCCCTGCTCAAGCAGGAGAACCTATACCACCTCCGATAAGTGAATGTCCAGTCTCTTAAAAATCTCCAGTGATGGAGCATCCACGATTTCTGGAGGCAAGCTGTTCCACTGGTTGATTGTCCTCACTGTCAGGAAGTTTCTCCTTAATTTCAGGTTGCTTCTCTCCTTGATCAGCTTCCAACCATTGTTTCTCGTCCTTCCCTCTGGTGCTCTGGTGAACAACCTGACCCCCTCTGTCTTGTGGCAGCCCTTCAGATACTGGAACGCTGCTGTCATGTCTCCCCTATTTCTTCTTTTCTTTAGACTAGCCAAATCCAACTCCCGCAGCCGTTCTTCGTATGTTTTAGTCTCCAGGCCTCGGATCCTCTTAGTTGCTCTTCTCTGAACTCTTTCCAAACTCTCAACATCTTTTTTGTGATATGGTGACCAAAATTGGCTGCACTATTCCAGGTGTGGTCTTCCTGGGGTTTTATAACATACAGTACAGTTATCCCAAAGGTTGGTGTGCACACCAAAACAAATACAAATGCACACACAAGCTAGGGAGGGCAGGTGGGAGACGTGACTTAATGGCCAAAGGTTTCTGGGTGCAAATGCTTCCGAGGAAGCCCTGCGTCAGGATTCAGTTTCTGCACAACAAAACATTTCTTTTGTTGTGCACACAAATATGAACCGTCCCCAGGGCAGACCAGATCCACTGTGTTGCCTCTGGACTCAGATGGCCCTTCAAATTATTTATTAAACCTCTAATTGGCACAGTTCTCAAAATCTTCCAGGTGGTTGATGAAGATATAAATTAAAAGAAAAAAGAATAAATAAATAAGTAAATCCTCACCCTGGCATCTAATACCAGGAATAAACAGCAGGGGAAGAAATAAATGGCAAAGCATGCAGGATTAGAATGCAAACGCTGCAAATAAATTACTTTTTTTAAAAAAAGAAACCCTTCCAACACTATTTATAAAGAGGATAGGTAAAATTGAGAGGGGAATAACTGCACTGAGGTACACAAAGAGACATACAGGCACACAGACACCATTCTAAATTACAGAGGAGGAAGATCAGGTTGAAATAAATAGCACAATAATGAAAATTACAATCTCAAAAATTATTCGCCTTCTTCTTTTTCTCTCTTTCTTTTCCTCTTCTTCCCTCTTTTTCTTCCCTTCCCCATCTTTCTCCTTCTCTTCCCCCTTTATCCCTCTTTTTCCTTGTTCCTTTTTTCCCCTTCTCCACTGTTTTTCTATTCCCCTATTTTTCCCAGGACTGTATTTGTCCTCTCCCATGAATAAAAAGTTTTTAACCCTAGGGGTGATATGCATCTTCTTCTCAAGTTCCTGCTTCAGATCCTGGTGTAATTCACTCATCCATCTACCCACCCATTCATTCATTCATTCATCTGTCCATCCATCCATCCATCCATCCATCCACCCCTCCCTCCCTCCCTCTCTCCATCTATCCATCCATCCACCCACTCACCTACCCATCCATCCATCCATCCATCCATCCATCCATCTATCCCTCCCTCCCTCCCTCCCTCCCTCCATCCACCCACTCACCTACACATCCATCCATCCATCCATCCATCCATCCATCCATCCATCTACCTAACCCCACCCATCCATCCACCCATCCATCCATCCATCCATCCATCTACCCCTCTGTCCCTCCCTCCCTCCCTCCATCCATCCATCCATCCATCCACCCACTCACCTACACATTCATCCATCCATCCATCTGCCTAACCCCACCCACCCATCCATCCATCCATCCATATACTCACCCATCCATCCATCCATAGAATCCTAGGGCTGGAAGGGACTTTGGAGGTCTTCTAGTCCAACCTCTTGGCCAAGGAAGAAGTCTTTATACCATCCTGGACAAATGATTGTCCAGTCTTTCCTTGAAAACCTCCAGCAACAGAGCACTCACAACTTTGAAACATTCATTCATTCATCCATCCATCCATCCATCCATCCCAAGGCAGATGTTATTCTGAGCATGGACAATTGCAGCCAAGGAAAGTGTGTGGTGGGGGTCATATAAAGGTCATTTCCCCTCCTCATTTTGGACACAACACCGCAGG